TCCTCCCGCAATATTAGGCTTCCATAGAATTTGATTACGACTTGGAGAAACAGTTTTCACTTGTGCAAGAATTACAAATCAATTTATTAAATTTTGAAATTGAATGAAAGCGTACAATCTACTCCCCGAAGTTCCTACAAATCTGCATATGAGAAGCAAACGCAAAGGAAACATAAATTGCTGAAACGTAGTATAAGTTCTCCTCAGTCTAATGATAGAAAACTGCGCCAGCCTGCCCTACTTGCTTTCTACGACAACATAAGTGAAGAAAGTTTCTTAGCAGGCCTGAATGATTGTGATTCCAATGAAACATTCGTAATTCAAAAAGATATCGCTTTAGAAAAAACGAGAGTCGATACGAAGATGAAATAATGTTCTTAGCGGATTCCCGGTCTTATGTGCAAATGTCAATGGACAATTTTGACAATTTGACAGCCTCGCAAAAATTTACGTCATGTCACGAATCTACAAATGGATGTGAATTTCACATCACTGATACACAGTTAATGGAATGTTGCAATAAAGCGGAAGTTATGTTGAAAGAAGTAAACAATGTAGACGCACCAGAAAGAGCTCGTGGTGATATATTTGAGGACTTTTCTACAACGCCTTTTAACAGTCCTATAACATCGCCCGAGAGTAACTTAAGAAATTTGGAACGGAGCCCTTTATTTACATTACTGGAGAAACCGAAAGGTTACTGTAGCCGTAAATTTAAAGAAAAGGCGAAATCAAATTTGGAGGAAAAATTCAAGGCCGCTATTGAGGACAATGTGAGTACATGTTCATCTTCATTGTTGCAATGCAAAAAAGATAAGCATTTTCTTAATGTTTGTAATCAATTCGATGACACTTTAATTGACGAACGCATCGTAAATTTGAATTCCAAAAACTTATACAATTTCATCTCAGAAAGTAAGTTGCTCTTTATCGGTTTTTTTGTATTTTGTACATTCTTCTTTGAAAAAGCTTCAGATCGTAATTACGACTATATCGAGAAAGAGGACATGTACAACGTAAATGAAAGTAAGTTGTTTTTAAAATCTGCGATGAGACAATATTTAAATTAATCCAAAATTTTTTAGCTTTAGTGTCATCTAATCAGTGTAAAACTGGGATAAGTAAAAATTATCATTGGCATGAAGATGACAATGACTTTTTTGCACCCATAAACACTCTAGAAATCTTAGATCAAAACCTGAAGATCAAGAGTAACTTTCCCAGTATATCTAAGTTCCCAGGAAATAAGCAGATAACCTAAGGTATGACTTTGATAGTGCTCATATTTTTTTTATGCTTATTTATTTGATTGGCTTTAAACGTAACCCAAGATACAATATTAGTGAATACTTTAAGAACTTGGTGCGGAGAGAAACTAATGTTGCATTAAGACTTCAAAAAGCTAGCGGAGAACGGCCGGAGTTGGGAGTAGGTAAAAACGCAGTTGGAGTGAATTTTATTGAAAACGAATGGGAAGAAGTTAAAACTAAAGTGAATCGAGATGAAGTGGGCAAGGTCAATAATCCGGGAAGTTTGCTTATTTCTGCGAGTTTTCAAACAGCGAATGGTAAAAAAATCTCCATATCGGAAGAAAGCCAAATATCCGTACAAGATATTCTAAGAGAATTTCAAGACAGTTTGCAGGAAACGAATTATGTAACTGAACTATAAGCCATAAAAGCTCGGATGTCGATTAAAAGTATGGAGTCCAAGTTTGGAGAAACTGCAAACAGCGGTGCGCAAATAGCCAACAAAACAGGCTTTCAAGCGATGTGCATAAAAGGCAAAGAAACGTGTAAGCATTCTGTGCAAGTAAATGGAGTTTTTATTGAAAATGGAATAGAAGGAATGGAAAACAAAGTTACCTTTAAAATGCACCAAGATGATATTGGCAAGGTCATGAATCGTTTGTTTCTGCAGGTTTTCAAACAGCGAATGTTAAAAAAACCATATTGGAAAAAGAAAACGATTATGAAACTGGACTGGAAGATATAAAATATCGCATGTAATTTAACTTTAGAAAAATTGCAAAGAGCACTGCACAAGTCGACAAACCCACATGTTTCCAAACGGGTAATGGCAAGAATGTGAATCCGCGGAGGAGTACGGAAAAGAAACTTTAGATGAAGAAGAAAAAGCAACGGAAGAAGGATTCTTCAGATGAAGAACAAAGAAACGAAATTGACGACTTGGAAAGTGAAAAAGATAAAGAACATTCTTCAAATGCTGATGACGATTCAGTTAACAGTGATTGAAGTGAGGAGGAAGTGGCAGCTGTTGAAGATGACAACGGAGAGAAAACATTTCCTGACTGGTTTCTTCGGAAATTACGTGTCGGTCATCTCCCACGTTTCATGGTCGATCTGATGTCCCTTCAAAAATATATCAATTAACCGCAAATTGAACATTTCCTTTTTAATGATTGCAATGAAATTGCTCTGTCCATCTTACAGCATACATTTATGCTGTTAAATCATGTTAAAGGCCACAAGACATATAACAATTCATTTACAACGTGACATATGTTAACGCACATGCCACTTCCACACCTGCGGGAGATCGTATGGAGGTCCAAGCCATATGCAAAGTTTTCGGCGATCAGGTTAATAAAATTAGAAAGTCACCATGGCCAGAACTTAGAAACAGTGCTTTTAATAAAAGCTCTCGCCGCTAATAAAATACCACCTTCGTTAAATATAAAGGTAGGTTAGGAGGCAGGTTGCGGAAATCCTTAGACCATATAAAATAATAAAATTCTTATACGCTTTAGTTATCTTTCAGACAACAGCGTGCATATAAATACAAAACTAAACGATATCAAAATTACGGAAAATGCTGATGTGGCATGTGCTACATGGTCTTGGGTATTTTGACACAAACAAGAGGAAGACAATAACATTTTATATATTCCCAATGATACTCGTCGATTTAAATTAAATCCAAAGACCAGAGAACTTACTTTAAAACCTGCTTTAGATCGAGAACATCAGAGTGAGCATAGATTACGCATAAAAGGAATCAAGGAAAAATAACGAATCCCCTAAGGGGTAATTGTACCTTAGAAGTCATTATAAAAGTAAGACAAGTTCTATGCACTCTCGTTAAAACATCATTTATAATCTTTGTCGTCTCTATAGGTTAACGATGTCAATGATAATTCGCCAAAGCTCTCTCAACAACTCTTAACTAATAAAAATTCTTTGACAGATTCAGATGATCAAATAATATTCGAAATTATCGAAGATTCTTATGAAAGGAACGGAGAATTTATTCCCCACAATCTAGCGGATTTCTTGATCTTAGATAAGAATACTGGAAGTTTAAGTTTATTGACGTACGTTAACAATAATATGAAAGCATATTTGGAATTTCTGGAAAATGGACACTATGATACCACCTAAGTAAAGATTTATGTAGTTTCCGAGAAAAATCGTAATATTTGTATTCCTAAGCGATATCGAAATGAAGTAACACTTATTTTATAGAATATAAAAATCTACAGTTTTGTTAATTTTTTTTTGTTATAGAACACATTGTTTAGATGTAATATGCTTTCGAAGAAAAAAATAACAGAAGCAAAGATTAGTATGTAAACGTATAAAATGTGTTTTTTCTTTTTTTATAATTGTGAGCTCACAAAATTATGTAAATATACAAATACTTTATAAATGCAAATAAATCATTTTACCGGTAAAATACTTGTGTAACAAGAACAAGCATCCTACACCAAGAAATTTAACAAGAAACCTGTAGAAGTGTTTCCAAACCGACGCATGTTACGTGAATTTAAGAGAAAAATAGCTGAAAAACTAGAATGATTGAAAACGTTGCTTAAAAAGCTTTTTATTTTATAAAAATTTATTAACTAGGAAGACTTTTGTAATAAAATAATTACTTGTAAAATTTAAACAATTAACAAATGCATACGAATAGACATGACGACAATAAACAAAGCGCAACATCTCTATTAAAAGTATGATCGACGAACGCAGTAAGACAATTGATAAGTCCGTTCAGCCATCTCTTCCCAAAGAGTGTAAATCATAAAGCTCCTGAAAAGAAGAAAAAAAAAAGCATTCGTGAGGAGCTCTACAACATGCTTGAAAAAACTGTACCTCCACATACTGCGGCCATTAAATTTATATCAAAGAGCAGGTCAGACTTTAGTTACTAGGAGGGGCCTAAAAAAAAAAAATTGATCGAAAAAAATTCCTAAATATATAAAATATTATTAACATAAATAAATATCTTTTATTTATAGTCAGGAGACGTTCAAGGGGAGATAAATGCTCTTTTTTTATACATTTATATATATAAGATATGCGAAGAATTAACACAAAATGTTCAAAAATATGCGAAAATCGAACGCCAGGTCTCTAAAAATTGAATAAAATTAGTCAGAAGACGTTAACAAAATGTTCAAAATACTGAGAACATATACGCTATTTTCTCTAAAGGCATTATTGAAAAAAGTAAACAAGCATATACGCTCCTGCTTATTCTCACATTTATAGGTAAATCGGAATCGGTCGTAGAGTTTTGTCGTGCCTTTAATACAAGACGCCGAATACGACGATAAGTAGACACAATCAGGAGCTCTATTATTGGCGGCAGGCTAAGGGCACATATGCCCAAAAGCATTTCAATAAATAAATGGCATACAATATTTTAATGCGTGCCACAAAGGATGAACTAATCTGAAATCTTTTGGTAAAAATGGCAAAAGAAAGAGATTATACTCGTTTTTTTATTATACAAGGAAAATCTTGCTATTTCAATTTTATTTAAGCAAAAATTATATATAAACAAGTTACGGTTTTTTTCATATAATTAAATAAAGGGTTTCAAATTTATTACTGTTATCATGATGATGGCCGAACATAATACGATGTAGCAAGGGAGATCCAAGTAACTTCTTGCCTTTGCCGCCCCCTGACTTTAAGTTTCTGTTATTATGTTGTGTGGCCGAAAAATGAGAAGTCGAGAAAGTTTAAAGAAATTTGGCATAGGTGCTGAACTTTTACGTTCGTATTTACCGCCCGCTTTATCTTTCTGTAATTCCCTTTTACGCCTACAATATATAATTTGAAATTTCGTTTTAGTCTCACCGGATTTATTGTATACTATAACTTTTCAATGTGTGTCATAGTAAAAACTAATTTATTGCTATCTGCGGATTTGCAAGAGCAATAGATACACCAAAAGAACGAACTTTGCTTGTACCAGTCTTTGCTTGTTTTATGATATTCGGAGGAATGGCTTGTTGACGATCTGCTTCATATTCAGTTTTGTGTAAACGTTGCCGATGTTTATACATATTGGCACTGGACGCAAAAGTCATTGGACAATTGGGGCAAGTGTACAACGCCTCACCCGTACGTACTGAAATGTGTTCCTATAAAAGAAAACAACTCTTATAGAAAAAGACAGAAAAAATTAATTTGAAAGTAAAACTAACCTTTAAATCTTGGCCACGCTTAAAAGCTTTCGAACACATGCTACATTTGAATTTGGGGACACACTTATGATTCAAGTATATATGACGCTTTAGAGCTCTCTCTCTCTCGGTAGTTGATACTTTACTGCATATATGACAACGATGTTCATCGCTTGTATTCTCATGGATGTTTTTCATGTGCGTTTTCAAACCAGCCAAATGACGATACCATCTACCACACAGATTGCATTGTTGCGGTTCCAGCGTTAATTTCCTTTCAGTATGCTCCATGTCATTATGTTTTTTTAAATTGCAACTATTTTTAAAAATTTTACCGCACTCATCACATATAAATAGTTTTTGTGGATCATGATCATTTTTTAAATGTTGCTGCAATTTACGATCCGTCGGTAATCTAAAAAAAAAAATCCAATATAAGAATAAAATTTATGGAAGACGAAACAGTTCAGAACAGAAAATAAGGAATTCGAATATCGATGATAACGTAGATGGTAAATAGAAGTAAGAAAATTATGAATACTCGCCATTCTAACTTTTCCAGTTCCAATGGTTGTGAAGCCCTTTACTTTTTGTATTCTACACCACTTGTGGTACAGAGAATATTAAGTATGTGCCGACGGATGTTACACGCAGAATGACTTGCGATAGACGTTTTATGATGCCGACCGATTCATAATCATTTCAGGATCATTTTCTATATCGATCTAAGCCTGTCTGCCCGTCTGATGTAAATTTTTATTCAAGCAACAGATCGTAGTTTTTGAGGTATTTCGATGAAATTTATTATAGTGGCGTTGTTTGCCCTAAGGACGAACGTTGTTGAAAATTGTTCGGATCGGTCCGCGTTAGAGGTCATTCCCCCATATAATGCCCTATTCCAAAATTTTTTTGAAAACCCTCTCATATAACCAATCCCACTAAAATTGAATCTTTATGTGGAAACAAGTCTAATTTTTAACATTTCATAGCAAAAATTGTCTCATGATAGCAAATTGACAAGCAAATCAGCCTTAAAAAATTTTGAGTAACACACAAAAATTGAGACGAGATTAATTTAAAGAATAAAGATAATAACAACAATAATAACACTAATAGCGGTCAGCAGCGGCGGCTATTAAATATAAAAAGTGAGGTTACATCTGAAAATTATTTGTAGTCCTTAATAAGAAAATTTGTTAAATGCTATTCTGTTCTATTCCTGGTGAAGAATAACTTAAAACTGTCCGCACAACGTTCATATGTTGCAGATTTTACTTGAAAAAGAAAATAACATCGTAAATAACATTTAATTTTACAGAAATCTAATACCGGAATTAATGTTTGAAAAAATTTTGACGTTGATCAAAAAATGAAATTCATATCTGACAGCGTCCGTAATGAAAGGAAAGAGTTCAAATTGGTTTCCCAGCTCTCTCGACGCTTCCCGTTCTGCTGAACGAGGGAAGGGTTATATATATTATATTTGGCACGCTTGCTAAACATAACTGAAAGATGGAGAGAGAAAGAAAAAGGATATGAATCATTGCGTGACCCGTATACAAATTTAATGCAAAGATAATAAGCAAACATGTTACTCTTTGAAGTTCAGTTTTTGGTTAGCAAAATGATACAAAATTAAATGAAAAAAAGACAAATAGTGATATTAAGTATTAGAAAATATTGGTGTTTTACTTAATTCTGAGAATATTGTAAAAAGCAGTAGTAAAATAAAATCGTTTAATCTTAGTTCTCTTAGTTTTTTAATATTCGTATTTTACACCTATGTTTTGCTGTGTAATTTGCTTACCTCATACAATACCGTCTCAGACAAGTTTAGAAGATAATGCATCTGCTCCAGCGTATTGGTTTTTAAGTGTTTCTATGGTGTCCTACCTACATTTTAAATTGAAATAAATAATTGAGTTATATCCATAACGTTTTCATCAATTTACAAATCCACGCGAGGATAGTCTTCCATTTTTCCGGAGAGTATCACTTGTGGAGAGTATGCACTTTTTCGGGATGGAAAAGCAAGTGTCTTAGATTTATTACCCTGTGGTATTTTTGAACTGAAAGTCATATAAGATTCCTTATGTAAAATGGACCATTTTTCAGATATGCGTGGATCAATTGCTTTCCGGAAATCCAAGCATGTAATACGTAATATGTGGTAATTTTTCAAAACGTATACGCATAAAACCCAACCAATTTAAGATGTAACGCCAGTTCTTCACTAGAGCGGCGTTACTCCCGACGTGGTCACTGTCAGGCGTTATTATAATTAAGATGCCCTCTGGTCTTAAAAGTTCATAATCCTTTCTGCAGCAATTGATGCGCTGCTCCGAACTTGGCATATATTCGAGCAATAAACTGAACAAAAGACATTCGTAATATATAGTCGGTAAATAGGTCACAGTATTATTTTCCAACCCAACTTTAGGATTTCCCATTGACTTGATGTGAACATTTAGGAAATCAGTTTGTAGAACATCATCAGTAGCTGGACACAAGTCAACAGCTGTCACTTCAAAATATGGTACTTTAGCAGATGGATTAAAGCAACTACCAACATCCAAGACTTTTATCTTTTCTGGCACATTCTTCATATATCGACATTGCGAGCAATCAAATGCTGTCCAAGAATCCAATAAGCCGAAAATTGCTTCTAAATCATGCATCATGCATTCTCGGGCATTTTAGTAAAACATTGATTCTATTTTTTGTACCGCAAATAATAAATTTTCTTTATTCAATACCGCAGCTATTTAAATTTATTCCTTGCCTAAGCCACCGTTTACTAAAATTACGACCGATTTTGATTTATCTATAAATTCATTGATATTTCGTCCGCGTACATAACCTTTATCAATAAGTTCTTGAGCAGATATCGGTACTCCTGAGAAATGAGGATCCTAAAAAATAAAAAAAAATTAATATAAGCACAAATTTTTTTATTTTCACATTTTGTTTCATCTCCGTATCACTATCTACAGATAAGTGTTTTCTCGGTCCCTGTGCATTCCTGCAATGCCCTTAGAAGATGCATCCATAGCCGCCCATCATAACAAAGCCACCAATATCTTGAAAATGCTTCGCCAACGATTCAACGTGATTTTCCAATTTCTCTAACTTACTTACATGGATTATTTTGCTAATACATTATATAAAGCACCCATCACGTAGCACAATTCGAGAGCACCAATCCAATCACGACAATCTATAAATTTTTGATTTTTATCTCCTAACATCACCAAGGTTTTTTGTATTTCTTCTATCGATAGTACATTTTGATTTTGTCGCTTTTTCTTTAATATCCAAGGGCAAATTGCAATAAGCGATATGCACAACTCCAATGGTTTATTCCAAGCGCCACCAATCCAAATCCGACCACAAAACATTTTTTTCTCGACTTTTTAGGCAATTTACACTAGTTTTTTTTCTATTAAAATCCTTTCAATTTTTCCGCCTTTCAGCCACAAATTTTTTTTTTTTTTTTGTTTGTTTAGAAATGGATTGGACCAGTTAAGTTAATGTTAGATCCATAATCCAGAAACGAAGTTGAGAGCGATGAAAAAATTTGAGTATAGGTAGACTGATGTGGCAAAGTGTTCGCAATGAGAGGCTCTGTTCCGCTGTCAATCCATAAATCACCGTATTTTGTATTGTACTGTCAAGAACCGGCTAATGATGCCGATAAAAGAAAAAGTGTAGGCGATTCGTGATTGTCATAGAAATACTAAATGTAAAATTAGAATGAAAACTCAGCTGATTTGATAAAGGCAGTCAGTTGCTTCAAATGCCTAAAGTTACCAGCACGAAAAATTTCATATAAATTGTTATACAGGTTAAATATACTGAAAGATTGTCTAAGGATGTCAAACCTCCTGCACTCAAAAATAAGGTGCTCGGCAGATTCAGTAATATTGCAATCTTCACAGATGTCAGAAGAGGAGACTTTGATCATTTTAAAATAAATCTTGTCGTAGGTGTGATTACTCATAAGACGGTGAAGAGCTTTAAATTCCCATGTTGTGAATTTTCCTTTAGGTAGAAGCGTGGGTGTCAAAAAAGGGTAAATTTTGTAGAACAGCCGGTCACTTTTTTCTCTAGCTAAAACATGATATTCATCTTTCCATTCTTTTATGATGAGTTTTTTGACTAGCAGAAAAGCTTTGCTGGGGGGGTAGTTTATGGACAAAACTGTACCATCGAACCTAGCTTGACGAGCATGGAAGTCAGCTTTTTCATTGATACTAAAACCGCAGTGACCTGGGATCCAGATGATGTGGCATTTTTCAATACTTGGGTCTTTTAAAAGGTTGTAGATATAGAAGACATACTTATTGAATGGGTCTTTGTTTTTGATTAAAATTAGAGCAGATTTGCTGTCAGAGAAAACTACAAATTTTTTTAGCTTAATTTCAGATGCATGGATGATTGCTTGTGTGATGGCCAGAATTTCAATGAAAGTGGATGGTAGTTCTTGTAGAACTTTGAATTTTCCTATATTTTCCAATAATTGAAAAACTAGAGATGTCTGAATTGATAGATCCATCCGTGGCGTATATTTTGAAGTTATTTTCGACGAAGTGGTTAAGTTTTTGCAGACAAGCGATTCGAAGACAATTTTTTTTTGAGTTGATCGATTTTTTTTTGAGTTGGTGATCGAATTAAGTAAGTTTAATTCAACTACGAATTTATCATGAATAATATTATTCCAGGAGGGTATTGAGTTAACTTTATTGAAGATGTTACTGAATTTTTTGAAGCAGTTAGAGTAACTACTGATGACATGATTGTGTCTGGAAGCGACCTCGTCAAAGAAGGCAGGTTTGAAGGTTTTTACCTTGAGAAGTTCTTTTGCAGTTACAAGATAAATTCTCTTAGCAACGGGGAGTTCATAAGAGATGGAACGTAAAATTGATGTTGGTGTTGAAGGGGACAAACCGGTACAACGTCTTAGGATTGAGTGTTGAAAGGTTTGTATTTTTTTTAATGTATACGCAGGAGCGTTACACGATGTAGAGTAGGGATATTCAATTTTGGATCTAACAATAGATTTGTAAACGTTTAATGCTTTCCTAGGTGGGAGTCCGGTGTGAATGTTGGTCAGAAGTTTGATGACATTTGAGCCTGTGTTGCAATTATCGAGGCTATCCTTGTAATGCTCATGCGTGATTAAACTTGAGTTGATTATTCTGCCCAAAAATTTAAAAGAGGAAGACGGACTGATTTTTTTTTGATTGTAATGTAAAAAATTTTTTTTGGACCCTTAGCAAAGCGAATGACTTTTGATTTTTCCGGGTTGAAAGTTAGATTTAAGTCTGCACAAAGTTTGTGAAAAAGATTGGCTTTAGTGTCGAGGTTACGGACTGCTTCCATTAATGATTTTCCAGCAGAGATGATGAGGAAATCGTCGGCATATTGAAATAAATGGGTAGATTTGTCCTATAATTGATGTAAACCGGCTGTGTATAAATTGAAGAGAACTGGGCTGAGACAGCTACCTTGAAGTAAGCCTTCACAAACTTCGACTGTATATGAATCTAATACGAGAGTTCTCGAGGAAAGAAAGTTGAGAACCCAATACCTACTTTGTGTCGGGATTTTAAAATCAGATAGAATTTGGTCCAGTTTCGCTAAGTTTACACAGTCGTAAGCTTTATTAATGTCTAAGCAAAGCATGACTACCTGGTTTCCATTTGCTTTTTCATTTGCAATTGTGAAAAGGACTTCATTAAGGCACATACCGGTGGAGATATTTTTTTGGTAAGCAAAGGACCTTGACGGGAGAAGGTGTGAGTGATTCAGGAAATTTGTTAGTCTTTCTTTAATCATTTGGTTGGTAACTTTTAGAAGAACAGGCAAGAGGGATATGGGAATGGGCACTATTTTAATTGTACGCCAAACAGTGGGAAACGAGTTGGTCATCCAGCGCTCATTTATAGCAGATAGCAGGGTTAGAAGGCTTGGCATGGGAAGGACCTTTATAATTTCATATTTGATTCCGTCATGGCCTGCTGCTGTGGACTTCTTGTTCGACTTAAGGACGTGCATGAGTTCATCAAGGTAGAATGGAGAGATGTTGTCCATCCGAGAGTTAAGTAAGGAGGTTTGGAGACCACATGTCGAGGGAACTTGAGCTTTCAGCCATTCAAGGTAGGATTTGTTGTTGAGATCATCCCAAACATGGTGTTTGTATTTCTTTTTTGTGGTACGATGACCATTTAAAAATTTCCAGAATGGCTTTGTATTGCTATTTGAGCATAGCTCTTCGACAACAAGGGCTCGGTGGCATCTTTTGGCTTTTCTAATCGATTTCTTCTATTCTTTTTGGGATAACTTGAAATCTTCGAAATTAGTAATATTGGGGTATTTGGAAAATTTTTGTTTAGCAGCCTGCAATCTACGGAATTGTGAAGTGAGAAGCTCGTTCCACCAAGGTTTTGGTGAGTAGGAATTCGAGATTTGGATGTCGGATTTGGCGTTAATTATTTCTTGTTGAAATGAGCACTGGATAGAGTCGCCTTGTGGCTCAAGATATACGTGAATAAGATTATTTAGGAGTTTTTTCCTCGAGATGAAGTCATTTATCTTGTACGAGGTAATAGAGGTGGCATTAAAGAGAATAGGAAGGTGGTGGCTGTTTCCCAGGAAAATTTCTTTTTTAACCTCTCGTTTGAATGTAAGATGGGTTGCGTTAGAGAAAGTTAGATCCAACACGCTACCATAATTGTTGGTCGTAGAGTGAAAATAGGTTGGTGAATTATCATTCAGACAATAGAAGTTACTAGCTTTAATGATTTCTTGCA